TTTCATATCATCCTGCACCTGTCGTTTCCTGCACGACATTTGTGTGAGCTTTCATATCATCCTGCACCTGTCGTTTCCTGCACGACATTTGTGTGAGCTTTCATATCATCCTGCACCTGTCGTTTCCTGCACGACATTTGTGTGAGCTTTCATATCATCCTGCACCTGTCGTTTCCTGCACGACATTTGTGTGAGCTTTCATATCATCCTGCACCTGTCGTTTCCTGCACGACATTTGTGTGAGCTTTCATATCATCCTGCACCTGTCGTTTCCTGCACGACATTTGTGTGAGCTTTCATATCATCCTGCACCTGTCGTTTCCTGCACGACATTTGTGTGAGCTTTCATATCATCCTGCACCTGTCGTTTCCTGCACGACATTTGTGTGAGCTTTCATATCATCCTGCACCTGTCGTTTCCTGCACGACATTTGTGTGAGCTTTCATATCATCCTGCACCTGTCGTTTCCTGCACGACATTTGTGTGAGCTTTCATATCATCCTGCACCTGTCGTTTCCTGCACGACAATTGTGTGAGCTTTCATATCATCCTGCACCTGTCGTTTCCTGCACGACAATTGTGCGAACTTTTCATATCAGCAGACATGGAACCATTCCAGCTCATACCTTCTTGTAAGCATCTATCTACTGAAGAATTATGTGTTATCTGCTAGGAGTTGCGCCGCCGATAACAACAGCCCTCAGTCTAAGACATGAACTGTCTTCTCCCGCTCAAACACTGCGATGGTGAGTTCGAATCCCACTTGAGGCATGTATGTCTGTGTGCGTTTGTTCTGTGTTTTTGCGCTGTCCTGTGTGTGCGTATGTTCTGTGTTTTTGCGCTGTCCTGTGTGCAGGTAGCGGCCTTGTGACGGGCTGATTTCCCGTTCGAGACGTCTACCGACTGTGTAAAAGATCAAGAAAATAAAAAAGTAGCCAAGGTCAAACAAAGAGCTGTAGAGTCATGGATGGACGGACGGACGGATAGGCAGATAGATTAGATAGGTAGACAGGTAGGTGAGAAATGCAGACTATTACCATAGAGCGTCGAATGTGGGAATGAGTAGTGAGTAATGAATTGGAAAATGATTCGCAGCCTGATTTTATATTCTATTTCGGCGTTTACTTGAAGGGACCGTGGGAACCCCCGAAATAGAAAACGCAATGCTACCCACTCTATCACGACATTCACTCTCTTTGGTTTATAATATCTATTTTCTAAAATGGAGGTCATGAAAGTATACGTAATGGATAAACGCAGTTTAATTTAGGAGTTAAATGCAATGAAATGTACTTGCATATCGATGCAATAAAAAGTACGCTTAAAATTCATCTGCACTTTATTGTTGTGCCGCATACTTCGCGCGACCTTGTTATCAGATCAGATGTACGTTCTCATGCTTGCGCAATATCATGAGTCGGCAGTGGTAATATCATGAAACGGTGGCCATGTTCACAAAGAATTTCCATGTATGTTCTTCCCGTGTTACGGTAAAATTATAGTTTTATATTTTTAACGCTTTTGTTTCTGGTAGGAGGTCCTGTTGTAAGCAGGGCACATCCTATAATCCTTATCCAACCGGACTCGGCCGAATTCAGTCCACGTTTTCTTGACAGCGGCCAGATGTAATAAAAGAATTTGTAGAGGCTTCCTGAGTTCTGTTCTGAGAGTCTGGTGCGTAATTGTACTTCAGACCATACTTTGTATGCGCTCACTGAGTTGGAAATGCCTTGGACTCTTCTGACCCTGAGGTTTCATCTTCAGAAGTGTTCTGACTCCTGGGGTCCATCAGATGTGCAGCTGAGAGCATGACTTCATATGTATGTGACGCAACACTCATTATCTGAACGTTCCTACAAGATTGCCGAAAAACCGACACAGAGCCCTAACGCAGCTGACTGGCACCTACTTCGATTCTCAGTCTGACTCTTTTGTATGGGTTTGTTTGGCGAGTTCGAATTGGTGCTTTGTAAAAGCGCGCTTATATTATGTTTGTAATCTCTCCGTCTGTCCTCTCCCTGGTCCGTATGTCCGCATTTAACCCAGTCGCATCTTCAATTATTCGTCATGTGTGTCAATACGAGTATATACGTACTTGAAAAGGAATTTAATGCAGCCTTAAATTGAAGTATGTAACCCAATTGGTGTATTTGAAATTCTAAATAATGGATGATCACTTTGAAGTTCTCGTCGACGTGTAAATGCACGAAGCTTCATAAGTGGATGAAACAAAGCATTTTGACGTTTGAGTTAATTCGTATAAGTTAAACTCCGTGGCTCTTGTCCTTTAGCGAACTATACCGACCGAGCGACCGCCGCTTGTCGGCGTAGTTAGTGCCAACTTTAGCGGATAGAGGGTTTCGCGTAGTCAGAGCAACGAATCGTTAATGTCGGTTTTCTAGACCGGAGCCGCCACTTTTCCATTCAAGTAGCTCCTCAATTATCCTCACGAGGCTGATTGGTCCTGTTCCAGACCCACTACTCAGAAAATCTTGTAGCGCCGGGAATCAAACCCGGACCCTCTGGATCTGTAGCTAGGAACTCTGTCCACTGACCACAGAGTATAAATTACCTAAACAAAACAATAAGGAACAAACCTTCATTCTTGAGTCTTCCTTTATTTAGCGTTTTTTTTCATCTGCTTAGATTATATAATGTCGAATAGTAGGATCGTTATGCTAATGCTGAACTGGGAAGGATCTGAAAGGAAGTGACCGTAATCTATTTTATGACAGTGTCCCAGCATTCCCATGTAAGTTATAGATTTTGTACGTAGCCCTAACATATACATTCCGTCTGTTTTTATTCCATGATATTCAGAACTTAACCGCGTTACATTTATGAACCTGATAAGTGTAGTTCGTAATTCGAATACCGAGAGAGATCCATGATTATTTGTGTGTGTTTTCATGGTCAGTATTAATTTATATTGTGATATGTAGACCCATTATTGGGGGACGCGTTGACAGACACGTTTCCATTGATTTTTTTTTCTTGGCACTACAGCCCCAGTGGGCCTAGGCCTACCTCCATGAACTTCTCCGTTCACTTCGGTTTTTCTAGATCTTACACATTCGGTAGGACTCCTTGGGCGGGTGATCAGCTCGTCGCAAGGCCTCTACGTGTACACAAACACAGAAAAACGCACACACACAAACTAAACATCCATGCCCTGAGTGGGATTTGAACCCACGATCCCGCTTTCCAAGCGATCGAAGACAGTACTGCCTTAGACCGCTCGGCTACCGTGACCGGCTTCCATGGAATTGGACTCAAGGAAACCAACTCGGTACGGAATACGTTTCCGTGTAAACTAGTGATCAGCAAACATTCCTAGGATACCGATACGCTATATAAGCGGCCTTTCAGATCAGAACCGAGTCAGTCGCAATAGAAGAAACTAGGAGAAGACAGATCAGAATGGAGCCAGTCGTAGATCAGATGAGAATAGAGAGATATCAGATCACAACAGCATGGAACGAGTCCTAGGCCTCCTAGACAGTCATTTATTGTGAGTTATTTTAATTCATTATGATTACAAATGCTTATACAAGAAAATGTTAATAAATCCAATCCAGATTCCGTTATTAGTCGCGCAGCCATAAACACGTGACAATATATTAAATATACTCACCTCCAACTAGTGCCGAGGTCAAGAGTTCGTAGCTCTATACATCCACTCCTCCCCCATTCGTCTTCATGGAGTAGTGCTTAATTAGCTTAGCACAGGAACAACTTTTTTTTTCTTCCTTGGCACTACAGCCCCAGTGGGCCTAGGCCAACTCCATGAACTTCTCCGTTCACTTCGGTTTTTCTAGATCTTACACATTCGGTAGGACTCCTTGGGCGGGTGATCAGCTCGTCGCAAGGCCTCTACCTTTATACAAACACAGAAAAACGCACGCACACAAACTAAACATCTATGCTTTGAGTGGGATTCGAACCCACGATCCCGGTTTCCAAGCGAGCGAAGACAGTACTTGACCAGGGACAACTTTACCCTTATCAAATATACATCAGCTCGGGAATTATGCAATGAAATTTGCCCCATAGAAGTAAAAGGCTTGATGACTGACTGTGCCTGGAAAACAGCTTTGTGGGGTTCCTTAATTCCAAGAGAAATTCTTAGTTAAGGTTAGGTTCCGTATATCAGTTAATATTTAACTAACTCCTTGGAGCTGAGTCCTTATTGAGAAGCCGGCAGTCGGTCATCCACTCAAGAATTTCTCAACATTTTGTGGAACCGAGGTTCATTACCGTGTTCACAAGAGCCCTCTACGGATCCCTATCCTGAGCCAGATTAACTCACTCCAAACCACCCCATCCTATCTCTCTCAGGTGCATTTTAATATTGTCGTGCCACCTACATCTGGTTTTTCCTAGTGATCTTTTTCCTTCCGGTTATCCCACGAAAATCCTATAGACATTCCTCTTCTCCCCAAAGACTGCTACATGCCCTCCCTATCTCATCCCGCTTAACTTGATCTAATTATATTTGGCGAAGAGCACAAACGGGTACCTTGTCAAAATGGCATGGCGCTTCCTCAGGTTGCGGGTGGAGGAAACAGCCTCTAGATATGGAAGGTAGCTGCGTATATTGAATAAGCAGTCGCCAACAGCCCCTACAGTGGGTGGTCCTCCAGCTTGGGGGCGTGGAGCTAACAGTTCACCATAAAAATAAGTTTGTTACGAAATGTTACAAGGGGCCCCTGACTTGGGCGGAAATCAATTAATATTTATTTATTGAACTTAAAGTGAGAGATAAACCTATCCAATCACTTGTCATTCGTAATTATGGGACATGACAATCGAAATTTACCGCATTTAGCTTTAACAGTCAATTTATCAGAATTCGGGGAAAACCAGCCACAGAATACATACCTAATTTCGTGCAAAATTAGAGTTCTTTCGCCACGAAATAAGATATTTTAAGACATTGAGAAGGGTTTTCTACCAATTATCGAATGAGAAGATGATAATTTTGGAATTTGCAACTGACCTGTAGGTACAGAGGATCCACGACCAGAGCCGAGGTGAGCCTTATCTTGTCTCGGACCCACAGTGTAGAACAGTCGAAGTTCACCAGCAGCCACTTGTTAGGATTCGTGTTAAAGGAGTCAGCATACTCTATACCACTCAACAGCGGCTTCAGTTCCGGGCAAATGAAGGCGTTTCCTGTGGAAACAACGGTGATGCAGTAAACTTCTTCCTTACATACAAGGAACGAAAGGCCTGTCAGAAGCTTTCTAGATTATAATGGGTATGAATTTTTGGTTCGCTCCGCAGATTTCTGTGCTTAATTTTCAACTGTAAGATACCAGAATTTTTGTAATATATCAGGGAGTAAATGTTTGAAATATGGGTGTCAATAAATTATATTAATTGAGTAACAGGTTATCTAGCGACGCCGTTTCGACTTTACAAATTATATCTGCTTCGAATGAGACGGAGACAGATCATGAATTGTTATTCGGTAAGGATTTGAATGGTGGCGTTCATGACCTGGGTGGATGCATTATACCAGCAACTTTCTGTTAGGCCTGAGTAAGTCGACGAAAGGGTGGTGCTATAGCGCACGCGGTTATTCGTCAGCTTCCTACCGCAGCGGCCGGGGGTCGATTCCAGGTCAAGTCGTGTAGGATTTATGATGGATAAAATGGTGGCACTGGGGCTGGTTTTCTATGAAAAGTTCGGTTCCCTCTGCAAATTCTCATTGCACCAAGTGCTCCATCCTCGTCTATCACCCGGGGCTGGTACAATAGGCCAATTAGTGGCCGACGTTCAAAGTGGACTCAGTCCTACCCCACCCCACGAAACTAAAAAAGTCGACGAAACCTTCAGACGAAATAGCTAGTACCCAGGTGTAAATTCGAAATGGACAGCCTTCTGCCCGGTTTCGTAAAGTATGGAACCAAGATAGGGCTCTGTAATATTTAAATTGTACTTTGGCAATATAATGTGATGATTCGCAGCTAGCCACCATATCTAGAGGCCGTCTCCTCCACCTGCAACCTGAGGAAGTGCCGTGCCGTTGTGACAGGGTACCTATTTCCCTTAGGCGCTCCAAGTCCCGCGTGAGGTCTGGTTCATATTCTTCGATGGTATCCCTTTGGCGAAGACTGGGATGACCAAGTCCCATTACATAGGCGGTCTGATGGGCTTCAGGACTGTTCCGAATATTGTGGTGAAGATGCCATGGCCAGAAACCCGAAACTCCAGGCCTTCATCCCGTAGCCAGGCAGTTTACTGTAGCATAGAATCCATTATCCCGTAGTGCACTTGCCACATTTCTGTGTTGTTCTGGGGTAGTTTTCATTCGTATTTCGCCTAACGAATCCCGAATTTTGATTCTGATCGTGATATCTGCAAGAAAATTGTCTAAATGGAAAATAGAGTAAATCTGCCCCATTTCGTGACGTATTGCTGCCTATATTTTACCACTTTCTAAATGGTCTTTGTCGTTGGAATGCACATCCCTGCATTCTTGTGACCTCTGGTGTCTTATTTTGGAATTAGGCTTACTATATTTCCCCGTCATTAGACATATACTGCGCACTTTAGATGTGATGTTTAATGGCGTGAGGTGCGTTTCTGGTTTTCTTCTGTGCTTCATTTGTCCGCATCAAGCACAGTTAGTTGGTAAGCATACATCTTGATTATTAATGCTGCTTTAGAGAATTATGTTTATGGTTAGGAATTATAGACAACTTAAATACTTTTCTTACAGTAATTAATAATTCAAATGTGGTATATTTCCCTAAATTGGACCCAAAGAAGTTTACTTTAATGGACTTAACAAAATTATGTGGTCCAACATAGGCAAATGCTACAATTGTATATAATAATTAGATGTTCCTAAAATCAGCAAATAAGATTAATTAATTATGACTGAATGTTAATCTTAAGCGTTATCCGAACAGTGATACCGGCAAAACCATACGGAAAAAAACTTATCATATAATTAGTTTCACGAGAACATTTCTCTGTCTGTAAAATGATTTAAACACTTTATGAATAGCACGGGAAAGGATGGAACGACGAACAAACTAACTAACCCATCAACCACATGGAATTAAGCGATTCTTGAGAAGCCGCCAGTTATGCAGCTACTCAAGAACTTTGCAACATTTTATGAACCCAAATGTTCAATCCCGTGTTCACAAGAGCCCTCTTTTGGACCATATCCTGAACCAGTTCACTGTAGTCCATACCACCCCATCCCATCTCTTTAAGATCCACTTTATTATCCCCCCCCCTACATCTTGGCAAGCAGTAATGGCGTGGAAGAACGGAGATAGAGCTGAATGTTCCTACCAGCATACGCTCCATCCACATGAAGCCATACACCGAAACGTCGGCATACAGGACCCACTTCCCTCAGGTTGTCGAAAGAACAGCAAGACGTTGTACCCAGCGTCGTTGACACGAAGAACGGGATGAGTCCGAGGGCCTCGTCTTCCTCCATTGCCTGCCGAAGTGACCAAACTCTAATTATGTAATACCAAGCATTACTGGAAGCTTGATCATGCTTGGGGCTCATTTGTTGAAATAAACGTATCCTTAATCCACTCGTCCATCCTTTCACCATTTATCAGACTGAGTCGTGTTAACCTTGTGACGACATTGGCGATTGTTCGTCGGAGACTAGTCGAACTTTGGCTCTTAATTTAATTCATGTCATGACGCATCTGTTTGCCAGCCGTTCATTCCCCATCGAAACTTCACTAGAAAATTTCGTTGGGCAGATGGTGAAATGTTCGAGCAGATTGCCTACGTAGTTAGTCAAACGCTGCAAATACTCCTATGTTTCGTAGATTGAGATTTGCGCCATTTCATCTAGAAGTTTAAACTATTTTTCATTTTATGTTTTCGGAAATATTTCCGAAAACATAAAATGAAAAATAGTTTAAACTTCTAGATGAAATGGCGCAAATCTCAATCTACGAAACATAGGAGTATTTTCTAGTGAAGTATTCGTAGAATACTTGCAATGTTATATTTTAGCGTCCTGTTGCACTGATTTAAGTCCATGANTTGCAAATTGAGAAAAGTCTTGTTGTAATTATATGTTCGGATGGGGGCACGCGGTAGCGTAGTTGGTTGAGGTACAAGCCGGGATGTCGCGGGTTCGATTCCCCGATGAGGTCATCCTTCAAGCTGCACTATGGGTCTGATGTCGACTCAGCCTCTAACAGAAATGAATACCAGGAATCTTCCTGGGGACGGTCGGCGTGTAAGGCTGACAACCATTCGATTTGTAGACGTTAGCAAGGCCGGAAGATCGCCATGTTTTGTTGCCACAATGACATTGCTTAGGANCTATACAGTATATAGTTATACTGTATAACACACGCAGTCGCAGGAGCACGACACAACAAAAGCACAACACACAAGATAGTGAAGGAGTGCTCCAACAAAGGAGAATGGGCGTGACTGACGTAGTGAGGGGCGACGTAGCGATGTGGTATCCTGAACAATTTTAATATTTTTAACGTTTGACAATGTATATGATAGATACATATTTTAGTTATTTTAATGTGTGAACATGGCATGCAATGAACTGGTTTGACGTGGACAAGTAAGCACCTGAAGATGGCATTATTATGCCGAAACATGTAGTGCGAGGGAAAGAAGGAGATAAATGAATGTATGCACTGCAAGACGGATTAAATAAATCATGAATACTTGCAAATTGAGAAAAGTCTTGTTGTAATTATATGTTCGGATGGGGGCACGCGGTAGCGTAGTTGGTTGAGGTACAAGCCGGGATGTCGCGGGTTCGATTCCCCGATGAGGTCATCCTTCAAGCTGCACTATGGGTCTGATGTCGACTCAGCCTCTAACAGAAATGAATACCAGGAATCTTCCTGGGGACGGTCGGCGTGTAAGGCTGACAACCATTCGATTTGTAGACGTTAGCAAGGCCGGAAGATCGCCATGTTTTGTTGCCACAATGACATTGCTTAGGAAGATGCAGACTAACCCATACAAAGTCTTATTCAAATAGAAACGCCGTTATTTCATAGCTCACAATTCGTATAACACAAAGTAGCATTCGAAAAAGAAGTTGGAAGAAGCTTTCATTGATCAGGATACGTGCATGAGCCCCTTGACCATGTTTCGAGAGGCGCATGTAAAAGTTTTCACCGTGATTCTGCCATGGTAGTTTGCGTATTCACTTTCGGTTTCATGCTTCTGGGGTGGTTTTGTTTTATGTAATCTTTAAGACTCGCAAGCGCGCACGCGCACACAGACAGAAGGTTGGGAAGTGTTAGATTCACGGATCTGGCTGACTACAATTCCGTCGAAATGGCTCTGTCTACCCAAAATTACGTCACAATATTCGTTGTTATGCTGACCGTACAGTACGTAGCGCCATCATGCCGAATCCAAGACTTTCTTGGAGTACCAGTAAGGAGCAGAACTGTCAACTTATGGATTTGTATGCTTCACTGTTTATGTATTGAGACACACTGCAGTATTGCTTTCATTAGGGAACGGCCTTAAACGAATCGCCCTGTATATGTGCATGCTTCTAATAGGCCGTTGTTAATTAGGTGGATCATTCGAGTAAGGTAGGTTCTGGGGACCAGACCACGTTTCGAGAGTTCACTCCACTCTTCGGCTTGTGGGGATTGGTTATCACTAAATTGACAGATTTTCTTATCGTAACTTCCTTTCTTAAGGATTTTCCTGCATGTCCTCCCTTCAAGTTTTGAAGCAGTTGACCCATTTTCCCGAAATTGGTGTAGACATGCCGCTGGAGGTCACCGGAACCCCATACTTCTTAATTTACCACAGGCCGAGGTCACAAATGGCAGACTGTCGAACTTAATGATTTTGGGGTGACACTAGTGGTGCCTGGTATGGAATCCTGATATCATGTACTGTAGTATATATTTGATGTGTGCGACGTTTCGGGAGGTGACTGTACTCTAGCCATCTTCTGGTGAGTGGGTATCATTATAATGATTATTTCTTCTCTGAGATTAATGACGACATTGGGGAGTGAACCCCGAACTTCTGAGTAGCAGGCCAGTCTGCTGACCACTAGAGTACCATGATATTTTTTTGGATGTACCATGTTTCGGCAGGTACAATATTATCTTTTTAATTTAGGGCTTACGTATCCAGTATGAATGTTCTGTGAAGGCAATAAGGCGCGCTGCTATTAGTGCAATCTGTGGCAATTTCCATCTGGTGTTGACAGGAATCAGTTAGTTAAGAATTTTATGTTGGTATCGTGATATGTATGACTGACCTGTTGTATCGTGGCCCCACGGAGGCTACACTTCTCATCTGGCTCCAAGATGCGTAGTTTTACAAAGCAGATCATTGCAGCCTTCTCTACGCAAGAGTGTGCCTCTTTGGAGCAGTAGGCCATGAGTTTGGAAAGCAACACGCCTTCCTCCACGAACGGGTGCTGCTGCTTCTGCTTCCTGATGGCTTGAGCTCTTGCGGCCAGCATTGTGACCAGGACACACTCGCTCGCCGATGTCTGCAATACGAGGAAATTGTAGGTCATTACTGTGCGTACTAACTGCTTGGAGCGAAGTCTCTCAAGAAATCCCTCCTTTCATGGATCCTTGTTAACAAGATCCGACCGCCTCTGTTGTCTAGTGGTCAGAGTTCCTGCCTACAGATCCAGAGGTCCCGGGTTCGATTCCCGGCGCTGCCAGATTTTCTGAGAAGTAGTGGGTCTGGAACGGGGTCAACTCAGCCTCGTGAGAATAACTGAGGAGCTATTTCAAGGAAATAGCGGCTCCGGTCTAGAAAACCGACATTAACAGCTGTCGGAATTCGTTATGCTGACCACGCGACACCCTCTATCCACTAACTTCGCCGACAAACGGCTGTCGCTCGGTCGATATAGTTCGCTTGCGGACTACAGGCCACGGAGTTGTTAACAAGATCCTGCTATTCATTCATATTCTGCACGTGCAGCTCCTCTTTCTTTAAACCAAATCTCATGTCTATTTTTCGTTCATTGTTCCATTTCAAAGAATCCGCCTAAGTCTGGGACCATTTATGACGTTTTGTAACATATTTATTCATGATAAGAGGTTGTTAGACCTCTAACTCACACCCAAGCGGAAGGACCACATTGTACAGCTGTCCGAAATTACGTATACACAACTACCCTCCATACCTGAAGGCCATCTGTTCCATGCTCAGCCCAGGAACGCGCCGTTCCGTGAGAAGATTTTGCACAAAATATATGCAGGCGGAAATCATGTGTGTCCGTCCTCCTTTCGGCGTGTTTCGTTTCTACAACTGCACAGCAGTTTCTGATAAAATCTGGCTTATGTGTGTGTGTGGGGGGGCTGTTTCTGCGTGTTGCGGGGCGGAATTTGTAAGTCATGGGCCACATGTAACCCGCAATTCATTTTATCTGACGTCTGGCTTTTCAGGTTTTCAGTGAAACAAAGTTAGACAGGCAATTGCGCTTGGTGAATGGTTTCGGCGCGTTCGCTGTTCCGTAAGATCTAAGGGTATCATATGGGTCATAAAATTGTGTTTCGTTCTCCTCTACGGATCTTTTTCAAAACATTTACCGTTTTGGTAAGTAATTAGCGAGTTGTGTCCCGAGTAACCGTCGAGATAAGTGCAGAAACGCGTGAGATATGCCCGTTTTTTTAAACTAACTCTGGAATGTATCGATGAATTACAGTAAACATCCCCAGATAAAAAAGTAATGATCCATTCTTCGGTTCTAGAATGTTTCATGCGGATAGTCTTCTAGATACAGAGAATCTAATAGGCGCATTTTTGTCTATTTCTCATACTAATGCGCCTAGCGAACGGCTTATCATGCCAAAATCGGATCAGTTACATAAAATGTACATTCGTTAATCTTTGTACCATTTTTAATAGGCAGTACAGTATACGGCCTGTTACAACTTTTTGGGTTTACCGGCCGATGTCCATTACGACTGTGGTCTTGTCGGTTTTAGCATAAGTAATATTGTGGGCGAATGTGGATGTTTCGGAGGAATAGGCTGCACCCGTCTTCGGGAGCTAAATATGTCGGTTGTTCCAGAAAGCAACATTGCACTCCTGGGAAGGGCTGCTATTTATCGCTATTCCATTTCCCATCTGTGATAATAAAACAATGTGCCCCTTTTTAGGGCCATTTGTGTCCATCTTTTGGCACCTGCTCAGATCTGGTTTATTTTTGTACCCTCTGTCGTTGGGTCTCATGACCACTTTCCATGTAACTTGCCTATATATCCAGGCCTATTCCTGAATACACACTTCAACCCCGAAGATGGAGTCAGTGTTCTTCTCAGAAACATCTGTATCCACCCACAATGCTATATGGTGTCACAATCCAGAAGATCACAGTGTTAATTTATGGCTTGTTACTTAATGGGAGTAATATGCAAGGGAATGTTATTTACTTGGGATTACTGGGGGTTTTTAATATTGTCCAACGTTCGGTATTCTTAGGAACACACGATAACACAATGTTTCGGAAACTTGAACTGTTTCCTTCGTCAGCTAAGGGGTTAGGAGACAACTACTCTGTTAATTCCGTTAGAAAGAACGAACTTCAGTCACTGGAAACATCCAGTTTCCGAAACATTGTCTTCTTAATACCGTAAAATAGACCGAGTTCAAAAACTCAGTAATCCTGACTGTTACACACCATCGTCAGAACCCTTTAGAATTTGCTTGTTGTCTTTCGAGAGAGTCAGTAAATAGGCCACAAATGGATATAAAACGTTGAACATGTGATATTCGAACCTGGGACATATCCTCCATTAACATTGATACATTTGTTCCATCGCTTTACCAGTGCGTCGAAACCCGCAGCATAGAATTTTTTTACTGTTTTCTCAGTCACTTCCGTTTCAACCTCTTCGTCATCAGCAAAACGTTTGCCACCAAAGTGGGTTTCTAGCAGACCAAACAGATGAAAGTCGCTAGAGGCAAAGTCGGGGCTGTGAGGCGGATGTTCAAACTCAAACTCTATAGCGTTGAATGCTTGGATGATAGTGAACTAGAAAAGAGGTGGAAAGGAAGCGGTCATTGCCTAAATGACAAGTGATATCCGTACAATTTCCTGGCTCTACTGAGTACGGCCACAAAAACTCTTCATGAATGGCAGTGTCCACGCACCAATTTGAATTCATCTCCTCCCGAGTAAGTTCTGGACTTAAGACAGTGTTGCTTGACTCTCCTGTTTAGACGCGCAGTTTTGGCTTCATAACTTCGCCTCTACTGTTCATCTAGCAGTGTGTATATTTTTGTTTCATGTCTTACGTTAAGCGTTTCTATATGGAATCGGTCCACTGCCAGCCTCTGTCTACACAGAGAAACCTGCATCCAAGTTCGGCGTCTTCCTTTAGAGCCATTGTAATTGTATGAGACTGTATCATGGCCAGGTTGAAAAGAAATATCGCAGCCTAAGTGATGTGAGGCTGTTATAGAACAGAAAAGAAAATTAGCCTACTTAGATCAGTTTAAAGTGGATCAGACATTTTATTTTAAAGAAATCACGTTTACTTTTCTATATGATACTCATATATTCATACTGAACCTGAGTTATTAACTGTTCACCAGTTTTTACACTAAGTAAGTATGTACTTAATTTCATGGAAGAGAGTCATTCCTTGGAAATCCCTCGCTTTATATGAGACTCGAATTTTCAGTACCATGTTCATAAGATCCCGCCTGTTTCTTCCGGTCCACGTCCCATAATCCTTTTCTTTAAGACCCGTTACAATATTATCCATCTGCGTCTTCGTCTCCCAAATAGTCTCCTACCTTCAGGCTTTCTGACCAAAATTTTGTATCCATTTCTTATCTCTTTTATTGTGCTGCATGTCTTGGCCATCTTATCGTCCTTCACTCTATCAACCTAATTGTATGTTTAATGGAGGATGCGTATTATGAAGCTCCTCTTCGTGCAAGTTTCTCTCGCACCCTGTTACTTCCTGTGTTTCCGGTCCCACAGTTTAAACCTTTCTGTACAATATTTCGAAATTGTAGTTACCACAGGGCAGATTACATGCCTCTCATGGCCGCAGCTGTCCCACTGTAATTATACAGAATGCTGTGACTTTAGAATCATTGGGTGGAGGAAGTGTGAAGCGATTCTTTCGGGATTACGACACTTCAAGGCGGAAACAGTCACAGAGATAAAACGTTTGCTTAAATGCCATTATTTTTCCTTGCGATACTTTATCTCACACATTAAGAGAAGAATATATAGATTAAGGGCGTCCGAAAATGGGATATTTAGACAATATTTACACCTAAGAGAGAGGAATTAACAGGCAGAACAAGCTCCGTGGTTTTGGTCCGCAAGCGAACTATACCAACCTCGTGACCGCCGCTTGTCGTCGAAGTTAGTGCCAACTTCAGCGGATAGAGAATGTCGCGTGGTCAGCGCAACGAATCCCCATGGGCGTTAATTTCGGTTTTCATGATGAAAGTTATATAATGAGGAACTTCATAATCTGTTCTCTTCATCGGATACTATTAGAGTTATTAAATTAAGGAGTTTTAAATGAGTGGATAATTCTTGACCCTACCGGGACTCCGACCTCTCGGTCTTCCAGCCCGTCGTCAGTCGCTATACCGACTACGCTATGGTAAATGTATACGCAGTTCTGGTTGAGACGCTGAAGCTAAAGATATTAGTTGGAGGACTTAGATGTAGACGAGAGGATAACATTGAAATGGATCTTAAAGAAATACGTACCTACGATAGTATGGAACAGATTAAGCACAATACGTCACTGTAGGTCGTGGTGCAAGGGCCGAGAAGGCCCACCCCTTTACATTCACACATACATGGAACAGATTCTTTTGACTTAGGATAGACCAATGGCGGGTCCGTTTGAACGCTGTAGTAAACCGTCAGGTTCTGTAAATACTGCGATTTTGTTAACCATGTAGGTAAATTAGCTTCTCAAGGAAGACTGCTCATTATACAGGGTGGTTCTGGATTATTGTCGGGGTTTCCGTGACCAGTAGGCATGGAGGTGAAAGCGGCTATGAACAACCCTCCAGACAGTCGTTTGTGGTATACCTAATGGCGAGATCACGCCAAGGAAACTGGCAACCGCAACGCAACCGCAATTTCCGAGAAATATCGCCGATTTCAAGCAGGCGACTGGTTTCCAGATTAGCAGGCGCACACTGAGGAAACTTATGTTTGATTAGTTGCTCACATTATCTTAAGTGGGTATGTTCGTCCGACGTAATGCATGATTGTAATTTTTAATTTCGTACACTTACCTTCTGCAGAGGAAGATAATAATACTGATCCTGTCATAATATGGTGGCTGTTGAGACGGGTTGAGACGGCGTGAGAAGAGAGGTCGAAGACCATAAGGAAAATATTGGGATGTTAATTAATTTGTTTTAATCAGGAAATATAGCGTTCACACGCGATACGAAATTTTTACGCACAGTGCAACAATTTTAGCAAGATGTAAGGCTCCTGATGATGGCCGTATACAGCCGAACCATGTAATGTGGAAGAAGGGTGACTATACAATAAGTTGCATTTAAGACGGAAATTTATGTGAAATGATATGTTAATGCAGAAGTATGCTTAAATATAATATTAGGAAAAGAAAACATTGGATGCATCCGTTCTTCTTTGACAATTTAAACTGAGGCATTTATATTGTTTTGAAAGAACTTAACCTGGATCCACACTCCTTCGTCTCATGAGAAATTCTATCCCAAGCCAAATCTATTTTGTCCCGCCTAGCATAGTCTGAGTGCCGTCTGTCATATATACCAGGCTCTTGCTCAGTTAACTGCACAAAAACAAAAGTAACAGCTTCATCAACCTTTCATGCCATCTTAAGAAACAAATTAGTCACTGAAGCGCGTTATAGAACAGCTGACACTAGGAAATCACGCGGCAACGCAATCGTGAGGGCACTGGCAATCTCCGTTGCCTGGAAGTTGAGTTTCTCAGTTTTTCCGCGAGTTGCGTTGCCGTTTCCTCAATTTGCGTTGCTTCATTCAGTAACATGTGTTCAACTCGGGCTCATAACATTTCTCTGAAATTGCGGTTGCTTTGCTGTTCCCAGTTTCCTTTATATGCCCTCGCCCTAGCTGCAAATAAGCTCGTCTAGTTGATTTTATGGGTTTCGAGAAAACTCTTTCAAGATTTGACAGACATCTTCCTGCGAAGTGCTCTGTTTTTGCGCTCCTTTTCGGTGAAGAACACTACCAGCGTCGTGAAGTTGCTTTATCCAACGTCTGATAGCATTACCTGAAGGTGTGCCAAAAGTCATGGGATAGGTACCTAGTATCATGTAGGACCCCCTCTAGCCCGGCGAAGTGCAGCAACTCGACGTGGCATCGATTCCACAAGTGGACGGAAGACCTCTGGAGAGATGTTGAGCCATGCCGTCTGTCCACGGTGGGTGGAAATGCCTTCCATAAGGTTTTCCCGGTACACACGTGACACCATGGATCGAGGAATGTTGAATGACCGCACAACTTCGGAAATAGAATGTCCCATCCGCCTGGCACCCACTATCATGCCCCGTTCAAACTGATAATTCACGTCGGCTTGTCATGAGCAGACTGGCCGGTGTTCAACCTGACTCACGAGAGAACACCTCACAACTGATACTGCTCTGGGCATTCCCAAGCCATCAAGAGACGGTGGGGCCACTTAAAAATTAATTTATATACTGCTATCCCATGACTTTTGGCACTTGAGTGTATAACGACGCTGCGTTTTGATAACGGACTTCGTTTCGAAAAGTCTATTCTCTTGAACAGTCGCCATTTTGAGATATGACGTCATATCTTCTCCTGAACATCAGTACGGCAAGTACAGCGTTGATAAATAGAACTTTCTGAGTTGCACTTTCATATTTGATAATCAGTTTCATTTCATTCTTTTCGAGTTGAAAATCATAGGCCAGGGAAACCCCGACAATAATTTAGAATCACATTGTAGTTTCTTTTTACCTGGATGACGCCGCCGCCTTTGCTGCCCTGTGCAAACGCAAGGAACTCGTCTGGCAGTCCGATGGCTTTCCCTGTTATATGAGAGAAGAGATAATTGCATGAAAGGTTCGCTGAACATGGAGCATGGGAGGACCTAACTTTATCCGACGCAGTTATAAGCATGCAAAAAGAGAGATACTTCGAATATATGTATTGTCTCTCTACAACCAGTGTCTGTGTGGGACAGCGGTCATTGTGTGTAACTCTTGGTTTAACATTCAAAAAGTATATTTTCTCGCACATTGTACTCTTACATATTTTGTATTATTCCGAGAGCTGTTAGTTCTTTCAAGACCAATACCCGTTTTTTCTTTTTAACGGAGGCGCAGTATGTCCTCTCCACGTCGTCCAGACCGGTTCTGGGTCCCGCCCAGCCTCCTATCCAAAGGGTACCTGGGGCTCTTTAACCGGGGGTAAAGCGGCCTGGACGTGAAGCTAACCATTCACCTCAAACTAGTCCACATGTCAAGAATACGTGAATCTATACATCCACTTTCCATACGCCTTCATGACGTTAATTAATTAAGCACAGGGACAACTTTATTTGTTTTAGCTTTCATGATATTTAAATGGATTTCATGCTTCAGAGGGTTAGTGTCTGTACGCAAGGTAAACCTCTTCTGGGATGTGACACCATGCAGTCTGGTAAATATACGTATTTTCGGAAGAGCTTCCTGCCCGTATGCTCAGGGCAGAAGAGTAGGCCGAGCGTGGAAAGTGTGGTAGTGATGTAGAGACATGGGCAGTCGCATCAGCAAAACAATCCAAGTAAGAACAGAAGGAAGGAAACAGGGGCCGCGTTAAAGGGCTTTCTTGCCAGCATATGTAGAGGTGGGAGAATAACTCTTGTTCAGTAAACTTCTAGCACGCTGAACGATGTCACGTTCCAGGAGAAGGTAACTTTCACAGTCACTGTTGTGAGAGCCACATGTCTGAAATATGTGTACTGTTGGTTAAGTTTGCCAACTGTGGAATTCATGACTGTGTGCTGTTTTACAGCTACCGTTGATTAGTCCCTCCAAGAATGGATTTGTATCGGTAAAACCAATGAAGAATGAATATCTGAAACATTCTATGTTTCATTCTTATCCGCGTTCTTTATATTACGAATGAGGAACAGAAGCTTGAAGAAGTGGGTCCTGGTTAGTAATTTGGATACGTTACACTTCTGCGAATCTCACGCAACATTTCTCATTTGGCACTCAGATCTGGCCTTAGGCCCCGGGATTATTAATGCAGAAATCCAGTATAAGGACATGGGCGTGCCAAAATGACATCCTGGTAGAATATTATGATTATGTCGGTCATAATTCTGGCAAGTTAATTGGTATGGCGTATTTTCCATTTTATCAGCTTACGAGTTTTACATACGAATTGAGAGAATACTTCACACTTCACCACTTAATAATGCCAATATAATATATACTGCTGGTAATTTCAGAATATATTATCTGTGTCACCTGCGTAAATCATAAAGGTAGGAAAACAATTTCGTGTGTTGTTTAATACTGGTGTGAAACTTGATGCCTTGTTGTGGACAAACATAGATGGAGGATGTAAGTTTTGAGGCTTTCACGGCGGTGACTATGAAGAAAGCAGTCTTCTGGGATTTGGCACCTTGTATATGTGGTGTTAACCGGCGTTTCGGAGGAACGTATCGCCTCCATCTTCAGGGTAGAAGGAAAAAAGTATAAGAAATCCGCAACGCCGGTTAACACCACATATACACGGTGCCAAATCCCAGAAGACTGCTTTCTTCATAGATGGAGGATGTTTGAAAGAAAAATATTTTTATTTAATGGAGGTGACGTAAGAATGGAATATAGAAAATTCGATGATTAGGAATTTCACACGTCGTACTCTTTACTAAATACATTTGACCCCAAAGGAAAAGACAGACGGGAAGCCTTTCCACCACTGAGGTCGACGGCGGTCCGTGCCCAGTTTTACTGACATGTTGATATTCTCCGCTCTCCGTGGGACCAGAGTTTCAGACTACATCTGTCAAGGTACCGAATGGACCAGATCCTTTACTCTATTCTGTCTTCTGATGATGGAAACACTCGATTTCCGAAACGTTGTGGTTTGGATGAAACTGGAACGATTGACAGTATCCCAGATAACAGTAAAAGAGACTCTGCATTCTCATTATCTTGAGTCCTTTTGATGAGCGTTGAAGCGTCTCTCATATCCAAATCTTTTAGTTGAATAACGTGATTTGTCGCAATGTCGACAGCATAGTGCAGTGTTTCTCAACCGCCGGGCCCTTGCATCAATTATACCGGGCCCTCATCTTATAGAAAAAATAATTTACCGTGTAAGATTTGAGGTTTTCACGGCGGTGACTATGAAGAATGCCGTCTTCTGGAATGTGGCGCCGTGTAGATATTTTTAACCGACGTTTCGGAGGAACAGATCGCCTCCATCTTCAGAGTATAAGAAATCAACGAGCGATGAACCAGCGTTAGCAGTTGTCTACGTTCTCCGAAACGTCGGCTAACAAAATATCTACACGGCGCTTCATACCAGAAGACGGCATTCTTCAAGAATTTACCGGGCTTCGGTCTGACCATGTGAGAACCGCTGGCATAGTGGATAAATGCAGCTTACCTAGCCAATCCAGAACAATGGTCTCTAATTCCGTGCACGCAGGACTTGCGGCCTGTAAGTAAAGACATTAGGAATTGTTTCAGTGTGTATAGTTGAGAGATGACTATAATGTTACTGGCATAATAATCTAGTCGAGTACAGTCAAGTCGAATCGAATCTGACACACTAAGACAGGCCCAATTGTTTTCCATAAAATTTCTGTGTACATCTGTTACACTGCAAGAGTCAGATCGGGTGAAACTGAGTGCCTGATTTTGCATCTTCTTGGTGAATCAGACTGTTCAGTTCGTGCACCCGCAGCCCAAGTGATAGCATGCCGTCATTATATTTAATGACTTCAACTTCATTTTGGGGTTTACTTTACGGCACTGTCAGCATCTAGTCTGTGTAAGGCCGAGTATTAAAATGGTTTATGAATGGATACTTGAAAAGGACGCGGAAGTAAGCGATCATTGCCTAATCGCGGTAGTACATATTCCTACGTTTTCCTGGAGGGACTGAGGAAAACGACTAAGAACCTCGGTCAGGATAGGAGGTTTCCCTGCCAAGCACCTTCCGGACACAAATATAGAGCGTGACAGCTACACCAAATAGCTGAGATACATTAATCTTCACGGATGGTTTCACACTAAACCATTAATCTGGAGATGGTAAAAATAGATAATTATTGTTCTCTTCCGCGTCCTTTCCGATTCATCATTTATGACTATGCTACCACATGTTACTATATAACCTGTGCATTTGAAAAATAATCTATAAGTAACTAGCAAAATTAATCACTTAAAGATAATTACAAACAATCTCGAGGCTATATCGGAATATTTGCGTTACAGAAATACTTCAGTTGAAGTGAATACCGTATTTACGCGTGTATAGGCCGCAGCACAATTTTCAGACAGAAATTATAGAAAAAATAATTTTCTTGGAATATTATTTCAGGAGTATTACACCCTGTATTACTAATTATGAATATATATTTTTTTTAATGAAGTGTGATTTCGAATATTTCGAATATAAGTCGCACCCCAGTTTTCCTCTTGAATTTTTGGCAAAAAATGTGCGGCCTATACATGCGTAAATACGGTATCTTCATCGTTTTGAGTTATATAATCATGAAAGGCTCTACCTTGTGGGATGTAACTCCATGTAGTCCGCTGAAAATCAACCGACGTCGAAGGATAAGCCAATGAAGAAACCAACATGAAGCAGACAGCAAGCAGAGCAGTGATAAAGGAGGCGAAACATGCAATAGCGGGGTCTAAATTTCGGATTTTGAGTTCCTTTGACTAAACACACGCTCTGCTTGCTGCCTGCTTCATACTGGTTTCTTACTTGGCTTATTCTTCGACGCTGAAGATGGAACCGACAGGTTCTTCCGAAACTTGGGTTGACTTTCAACGAACTGCGCGACCTTATATCCCAGATGATAGAACTCTTCATAACTACCGCTGTGAGAAACTCATTTCCCACTTATATAATCATGTTAAATCTTCGTTTGGAAGTTAAACTATTCACACAACTTTAGACTGTAAAGCAGGTCCATGCCAAGGGCTTACGGCGAAATAAATGAATATACTCCATAAATACTTAACAATGTTATGTAAACTGACCCAGGAGAACCCTATGCAGCCGATGGCATCTCCCAACATGTCGCCCAGAATGGACGGGAATGAGTTCCCGGATGGAAAGTAAGCGTGGAACCTCGGGTGCTGCCAGTGTGTAACCTGCAAAGGAAAGAAACCCGTAACTATTATAATTCCTCGACTTCGCACCGAAATTAGACCAACATCTTAGTATACGTGCCCCCCCCCC